TATGCATAGCTGGTTTCATGACCTATCGCCTGCAGAAGCCAGGAAGCCAGACTTTAGCCATGGTCGGCTTTGATGGTCACCCAACTCTTCCACGCGGCACTCTCATCTCCAGTACCGTCTCTCCTCACGTCTCCCACTACCACATTTCCACCCTGCCCTACGTCGCCTTACAAATCTTCTTATGCCCCTTCCAATCCACCTTCTGACACTCCTGCGAACAATACCTCGCCTTTTTACACTTGCCACAAGCCGAGAAGACCTTGCCATCCTTCGGGCTCCTCCCGCAGTTAGTGCAATCCCCCTCTTTCCTCGGTCCCCTTCCTTTCTTGAGAACCGCAGCCATAGCCGGCACCTTCATGTTCATCATCTCGACCAACGTCTTGATACTCATACCATCCGTGTCCTTGCTGTCGACATCACCGCCATGCTCCACGTACCACTTGAGCATCTGCACGTTCTTGCTCGTGTCGCCGTGGATGTCGGCTTGGGCGATCTCTGAACCTGGGGTAGCACCGAAGCGGTTCTTCGTGTTGACGGAACCGCCAGCGTCGAAGAGGATCTGCGCGAATTCGGGTTGCACGTAGGGTTTTGTGGATATGGCCCAGAAGAGGGCGGTGCTGCCCACGACGTCCTTGCCATCGACTGGCACTTTGAGATCATTGGCTAGATACTCCACGACGCCCAGTAATTCTTGCTTCTTGTTTGGCATCATGTGCAGCGCTGGCAAGAGTACATTGTAGATGGGTGTTTTCGTGGGGCCCCATCGTTTGGCGAAGAGATCCTTCCTGAGCGTCTCGCGAGCTTCCTCGGTGCCGCCGAGCTGTTTGATCATCATCTCCACGTAGTTTTGTAGTGCGTCGAATTCTTGATTGAAGATAGCGAGGAGGGTCTGGCCGACTGGGTCTTTGAGGTCACGACTGGGCACCGTGGGGTTGTTGTGGCTCCAACCGCGAAGTTCCATGCCGTCCATACCAGCGAGCTGGTCATCGGAATTGATCATGTCTTCCACGGTACTTGACATTGCACATTAGCAACTCATTGGAGCTTCAAAGGTGTTGCGCTAAATACCGGCTTGACCGCCCTTGCATATTCTGCAACATTTGCATGAACTGAGCCGACATGTTGTATGTTGTCCAATTGGTAGATTGGAGTAAAGTTTGTGTGGGTGCAGTCGTGTGAGAGTGATGTTGGATGGCAGGATGTTGGAGCGGAGGGGTGACGGCGTGGCCCTTTCGCGCTTGGAGCTATCGATAGCACACGCGACTTCACGTGTTTCATCCACACACGCAGTGGCGGCTGGTCCAACAGCTGAAGCATTTGGAGCGTCTTGTCTGCACCCGGGTCACTACTTCTCAAAGGCAATCAAGTTAGGGCACCAATTTTGACATAGGTATATATTGGGTAACGATGAAGCGTAGCAGCTCCAATGAAACAGACATTCCGATAAACGCCGGTCTCGAACTCCGCATCCAGATGCAAAGTGTGTCCAGCTCGCCAGGGTGGAAGGTATCGTATATCCAAACGCCAATGAACATACAGGTATCACCAGATTCACGTCCTCAGACCCAGTCACATTCCAAGTTCTGATCCAACAAGTATCTACTTCTTCAACGCGGCGTCGTAGAGGCTAACAAGTATGCCAACCAACGAGCCAATTTGCAGCCCGTAGTATCCTCCCGGGACATTGTTTCCTACGCGCGCGACCGCGTACTCGGAGAAGGGGCCCCACGCACTTGGCGCAAATGCCATGTTGACAGTTTCCCGGTAGGCATTGTACGACAGGACTGCCCGCGCAATGTTGAAGATGAGCGGGTCAGCGGGGTATTGGCGCTCGGAAGACTTGCGCGAGGTGTTTGATCGAAGGGTCAAGTTGAAGAAGTAGGAGAACATCAGTGGTAGCACCCAGCTCGTCAGCGACCAGAGGGTAGCTGGTGCCCACCACTCGGCTGAGAGCAGCGCCCAGAAGTTTGGTCCTCGAACGTCTTGGCTGCTCGTGTATGAGCCCAATGCGGCGGGTGTAGCGAATAACGGGGTGGTGTCGAGCGTGTTGTACTGTAGTCCTACAGCTTCGACAAGCAGGATGATAGTTTGGATGGTAGCGACCGAGCTTGCGTTTTCGCGAACGAACTCCTTCAGCTCATCGATCCTGGTCCTGTCCCACAGCTCGACAGCCTTTGTCTGGACCACTTGGAAAGACTGGTCCGCGACCTCAGCGAGTTGGGCAGGCGATGCGGGAATGTCCACTTGATTGTACAGCTCGGAAACGCGACGAGAGACGGCCTTGGGTTCGGCTTGAGCAACCACCTCGGAAACGCGACGGGACATGGTCTTAGGTTCGGCTTCAACGACCATCTCGGAAACACGTCGAGAGACGGATCTCGGCTTGGGTGTACGCGCGACAACGCTGCGGATTTCTGGTGTAATGATGGGGGTGGACTCTGGTCTGCGCGTTCGTTAGCCTCAGCGCGTCGCGTGTCGCGTATCCAAGTTTGACATACGAGGGGTCTTTGTTAAGAGTTCGGCGGCGCGTCGTCTTCGTGATGAAGGGTTCCGGCGAAGACTTTTCGCGCTTTACTGGCGACCCATTGCGCCCGTAGTAGTCGCTAAACTCGGGGAGTTTGGCAAAGGTGCTCTCATTGGAGTTGAGATGGCTCTCAAGCAGGTCCACGAGATCGTCTTTCAAAAGGCCATCTGCACTGCAAATGGCTTGTTAGTATCGCATACACGCGCAGGATCGATTCCAGCCTACTCGGGAAGTCTAGCCTTCTGCGCAAGGTCGATCAAGTCAGCTTTGCGCTTCCTCTGAAGCCAAGAGTGGGACATGGTGAGTGGTATGGATCAAGTCGCGTAAAGCTTGCGATCAAAATGGGTCAAGAATGCAGGCCGAAAAAGCGTCGTGGGCGAAAAAGGTGGGGGCGGTGTGGTGTTGATCGGATGCAGAGAGACTCTGGATGTAAACACGATGGCTGGGGCTCACGTGGGTCATCTGGGCGCTAACTGTTGCAGGGCTTAGTCTACAAAATACATTGATCTGCGGCAACACCACGCTGACTCTGAGCAAGATGCGTTGTCTGCAGTCGTTTTGGTGGCATTCGCGAAGGTATAGCTCAGGTAGCCTTAACTGCATCAAGCCGTCGTCTGGTCCCCGTGCTTCTGATAGCTGATAGCCAGGGCTTGCAGGGATGTGGCTGCGCAGCTCCGGTCTTGGCCGAAATTTTCCAGACGCAACATCATCGCACGGCCGCAGCGGCAGCAACGTCACTCTTTGAAGATACCCTTGCACATATCAAACTTCTCTATACTCGTCTTTCTTCACTACAACACCCACAGATCTAGTCCCAGTGCACCGCTGCCATCGAAGCGCTCATGGTACTTGCCCGCGTGGCCAACTTCTTCACAAACGGAGACTCTACCACCAACCTGACCGACGGTAGCCGGAGACATGGCCCAAGCACAACACATGCAGTGGAACTGCCCATGGAGGATACCAAGCGGGGAGCCATGGAGGACGAGATAGACGAGGAAGCAGCGCGGCCGCCATACCTACATGTGAGGATGCCTAGTCTGCAGAGATGAGGGATGCCAATTGATCACAAACAGGCAATGCTGGCAGGAGGAATAGGAGGCACCACGGGTGACATGTTGATGCATTCGCTGGATACGGTCAAGACGCGACAACAGGGCGACCCGCACATGCCACCCAAGTACACATCCATGGGCAACACATACTACACAATATGGCGGCAAGAGGGCTTCCGGAAAGGATTGTATGGAGGGGTGAAGCCAGCGTTTCTTGGCTCATTCTCGGGCACTGTGTGCTTCTTTGGAGCATACGAGTGGACCAAGCGGACCATGATTGACTATGGGGTTGCGCCCTCGGTCGCATACTTCTCAGCAGGTACACCTCCCTGAGGATCGATACAGTCCCACCATGTACTGACAAACTCCTAGGTCTACTCGCTGATCTTGCTGCTGCCCCCGCATACGTCCCCTCCGAAGTCCTCAAAACTCGATTGCAATTACAAGGCCGCTACAACAATCCCTACTTCAATTCAGGCTACAACTACCGTGGGACCATCGACGCCGCGAGAACAATAGCCAGGGTGGAAGGCTACAGCGCCCTCTTCCACGGCTACAAGGCCACGCTCTGGCGCGACCTCCCCTTCTCAGCACTACAATTCGCCTTTTACGAAGAAGAGCGGGACTGGGCCAAGAAGTACATGGGCTCAAACAACATTGGACTGCCGCTAGAAATCGCAACCGCAGCGACCGCAGGCGGCATGGCAGGCGTCATAACAACCCCTCTCGACGTAGTCAAGACGCGCATCCAAACCCAACACAACGGCCCGTCTCCCGCCTCTCCACCCGCACCCAAAGCACCACTCTCGCCCGCCGCGGCCTCGAAACACTCCACCCCCTCGCAAACAACTAAGACGAAATCGACGCAAAGTAGACCGATCTCCACATCTTCCCCTTCCACAACTCTCAAAGCTCACGGCGCCGCTACCCTTGACACATCCTCCGTCATGACCGGCCTGAGAATAATATACAAAACAGAAGGAATAGCCGGGTGGTTCAGAGGCGTGGGTCCGCGCGCCGTCTGGACAAGTGTGCAATCAGGGACCATGTTGGTACTGTACCAAACGCTACTAAGGTATTTCGAGCAACATCCGCTGTCTGGCGGCGGAGATGTGTGAATAGACGTATTTGTACGATTTGTAAGACTAAAGATAGGGAAAGAGGAGAGCATGAGTGAGAATACGGATTTGGGAGGTTTATAGATAAGATGCATTCAGCGGCGTTTACTTGTAGATATAAGCCTCGTTGTAAGAACAGCGAGTTTTCGAAGCGATAGAATTGTGCTTTATCAAGACATTTACACTCACAGATTACCCAGACTCTTCATGCACTGGCCCTACCCCTCCCCCTCCTCCGCAAAAGGCATTGTCCGATCCATAACTTCATTTAACATCCCCCCGCTACATCTTCTCATATATCCATTACTCCTCTTCGTTCTCCGACATCGCTCTAGCCTCCTCCTCCTCCCTCACCTCCTTCTCCCTCCTCTCATCCTCCCTCTCCCTCCTCTCATCCTCCCTCTCCCTCCTCTTATCCTCCTTCTCTCTCCTCTTATCCTCCTTCTCCCTCCTCTCATTCTCCTTCTCTCTCTTTTTATCCTCCTTCTCCCTCCTATCCAGCTCCTTGTCCCTCCTCTCCGCCTTCTCCACCTGCCACCTCACAAACCCAACGAGGTTAGGATAAGGTACATGCCTCGGCCAATTGCGTCGCAGCACGCTCGTTGCATCCTCAAGCTGCTCAAGTTGTTCTTCATCGAACGTGGCGACGAGGTCGTCCCAGGCGGATAGTGGTATTGAGGGATCGTGTCGCGCGCGGAAGAAGAGGTCGAGGGCGGCTTCGACGGCGTCGCGGGGTGATGCTGTGGGTGTGTTGGCGAGTGGCATGTTGGGGTGTGTGCGGTGTATGGATGCTTGGATACTTAATGCTGAAGCGGATGTTGAAGAAAGTGTAAGAAGCATCGTTAAGGAAGCGGCACGGAAAGGCAGATTTTATACTTACATGCATTCAAGTTCGTCGGTTCAATGCTCGACTTGAAGGTCGGATACGTCGCGCAACGACAGTACCTTGACATGACGACAAATTTGAATATATCCCTTATCACATACCAATCTCCCTCCCCCTTCCATCCACCCCGCAACAAAACCCCATCCTACCTCCCCCTCCTCTCCTCCTCCGCCCCACCAGCACCCCCACCACCCGCAAGCGTCCCCCTCTTAACCCTCCTAAAGCAAGCAAACTGCACCTTCGTCCCCTCCCTCAACCTCTTGAGACTAACCCTCAAGCTCCCCAGTTCCTCCTGCAGCCTCACTCTCGCCGCATTATCCGTCTTTTGGTCCAGCACCTGGTAGATATCCGTCTGGATCTGCGATGCTTTCTCTGTAGTGTACGAAGCGAGCGTCTGTGCCATGAACTCCACGTCGAGGGTTGCTTGCATGAGCTGCGGGAGGGAGATGGTGGGGAGGTTGGCGGATTGGAAGGTCGTTATGAGGGAGGTTGTTGTGGCTTCGAATAGGGAGCGGAGGATGCGTGGGGTTAGGGGTGCGGATGTCGTGGATGACTCGGTGTGCACGATGACGAGGTCCAAGAGGACGGTGAAGACGTAGGGGCTTGGGTCGCGGTCTGCGACGCTTTTGCGGGCGTCGGGGGGAGGTGCCCAGGTGGGGCTGAAGATGCCGGATTCGATTGTGGAGTGGATTTTTGTGGCGTGGGGTTTTGTGTAGGAGCGGAAGAGCTGGGCGTCGAGTTGGGAGAGGACGTCACGGATGCGGTTTGTTTCGTCGGTTAGTTGGACGCTGAAGAGGGTTTCGAAGAGGGTGAGGAGTTGGGGCGTTATTTCGGACTGGAAGGCGGACATGTTGGCGAGGGTTAGGAGGAGGCGGATGGACTGGAAGCTGTCAGTGGAGATAGTCGGAAGCGTGACATGTGTATTTACCTTCTTGTTGGCATCGACCCTACCCCAGTCGTTACCATTCTGATCATCTTGCTCGTCGATGGTCAGATCATCACTCTTGATCTCAAACTCAGCACCCAAGGCCTGTCTACCTCGCTCCGCACATTCGACCATCCCACTGAGCGTTCTGTACAAGCTGGTGACGAACTGACTTCTAACCATCTGCAGCAGCTTATTGCTCGGTGGTACAACAACGTCCACTCTGGTCTTGCTCGATGCCTCAACATACAGTATCTTTTGCAGGTTGTTCAGCAAAAAGCTTTGTACTGCTAGGAAACGTTGAGGTAGATTCGTGGTATCCTTGCGGTCGACATGACGAGTCCAGTCTTCCAACACCTTCAGCTTCTCGGCATCCGTGTTCCAGGCCGCACATACAGCTTGAATGCAACGCTCGCGTACACCGCCAAGGAGCAAGCGCAGTGCTTCGTCAATGCGTCCGCTGCCTCCTGATTCAGGAACTTGAAGCGATGCCAGTTCATTGGCTGCGGTGCCAATAAGGACAAGCATCTTGGACAGATAGTGAGATCCAGAAAGCGCATTCGCGTTAGGAGGCCAGAAAGCGTACTTCTCCCAAGATTCACCGCGACTAGGTGATGGCGGTGGCGCTTTCGCAGGATCGAACCTGGACCTTGATGCAGACATGGGACTCAATGCTGCGCTCAATGGTGTTCCTGGTGTGGTTGGTGTCGGGCTCATAGGCAGTGGTGACATGAGCATGGATACGTCCTCAATGGGAGGATCTGAGAAGAACGAGAACAGATGGTCCCGCAAGATGCTGATGAGCTCGGTCGTGCCTCTCTCGAGCTCAGCTTTGTTCTCACTGCTGAGTCGGTGGTGAACAGACGACTGATTGTGATGGCCTGTTGGTAGATTGCGTTGCGCGCGACCGGAGAGGAACGACTGGACAATCTCCCAGTATTCAACTAGTTCAGCAAGCAACCCGGATTTATTTGAGAGTAGGGTCGTCATGGAGGCATACACGTGTTCCCAGAACTCCGTCACTTTCGGGGTGTCAAGCTTTGAAGGTTCAGCGCTGACGTTGCTGCTAGTAGGGACTGATCGCAGATGCTTTTGCAGCATGCGCATGCTTGGCTTCTCGCCGTTCGCCAGATGACGACGAAGGATCTCGATCTCAACAAGCGAGTGTTGGCACTTGGAGTTGAGCTGGAACTTGAGGTGCTCATAGCGTGAGAGCAACCACACCCAAATGGGGTTCTCCTCCACACCCAGCTCGAGCATGATTGAGATGATGCTCAGATACTCGTCCGACTTGGTGTCCTCGGTTCCAGTCTGTAGATGCGTGAAGTGCGCTGCGGTCAGGCGTTTCCAGGATTCGCGCTTGAAACGCTCGACCTGTCGCTCAACGTCTGACCACATTCTAGCGGTCACGATGACTTGATGTATCTCGGCATCGGTCAGCGGCCTTTGGTTAGACGTTGCCTGTTCCACAATGTATCGGGTTTCGTCTGCGTACTTCCTCGCGCGCTTGTATTCTTCGGTAATTGTTTCGTGGTCCTTGCGGCGTATGGCATCTTGAATGGCTGACCCAACTTCAAACAGACCCCGGTGGTGCTCCACAGACTCCATGATGGACTTCAATGTCTCTTCCCGCTCCCGTCCGTTTAGCGCCGGGCCCCAGACTTCTTCCGCCTTGACAGCGACCTCAGTCAGCGGGACCTTGATACCATGAACACCGTATTCGCTCTCCTTGACGAGCGCATTCTTCCTCTTCTCGGCAGGCACCGCGTCAACCATGCCTGGTGTCAGAGATGCGCTTGTCTTTCGGCCAGAGAAGCTTGATCGAGCCCTGGGTCTGCCGGTGCCAGGTTGTAGGTCCTTGTTGGGCGCTTCCACTTGCTCCTTCCCTTGATCCCGCATCTCATTGTATACACGGTCGATTGTAGCTTTCGCGCCTACGAAGCGATCAAAGTTGGATTCGACGAGGACTTTGAGCGAAGCCGACTTCTTCTCGATCGACCGGGAAAGGAAGTCAAGGCCCGCGAGGAGGGAGTCGGTGGAGGCTTCATTGTGGACTTGGGAGAGGAAGAGGGAGGGCGAGAAGGTGGTGGAGCTCAAGAGGAAGCGATTGCCTGTGTGTCCATTAGACAGGCCTTGTATGTATTGCTATATGACTGGGACGTACGCAGCTTGATGTCATCCTCGACCTGAATGTTCTTCGCCCGCAGCACCTGCACTACACTCGGGTACATGCCCAATGGGTCCTGTTCGTCCTTCTGGACCAACGTCTCCACGCCATCTTTCGAGCGCTCTGCTCCCGGAACCTGCCGCGAGAATCTTGCACTGGGCTCTAACACTGAGTATCGTGATTTGGACCGCCGTATCGATTGTTTCGTGGCTTTGGGTATGGGCTCGTCGAACGTATCCTCTTCGTCGGCTTCGTCCTTCTCCTGCGGCCAGGTTGCGGGGTATAGTGTCGTGAGATTGTACTTGTTCAAAATCTCGGTTTCTATAGAGGAACTCATTGCAGCTGTCGGACGCGCTGTCCGGTCACGATCTCTAGAAACGTGGTGGTGCGACCTCGGAATGCTGCGTGTCGCAAGTGGCCGTTCGCTGAGACGCGATTGCGACCGCCAATCAGGCGCGCCGAGGTCTTGGCGGAAGGTGGGCCACCTACAGTGAGCTTGACCTGCATCTTCCAACATCACGAATCACGCTTTTGACCCCGACTAAGGCCTCATCATCACATCGATTCGTCACTCATATCAACTTTCGCTGTCAACGTCTATTATCACGCTCAGCTTTGAGAATCGGTATAGCCATGCAGCCATTACAGTCCACTGCTCATTATCGTATAGAGATCCATCAACGCAATGTTTTCGTAACCCCAATTTGATCAGCCACCAAAATCAGAGCACTCTATTCTTACATGCCTGCATGATTGTAGATATCTATGTCATCCTCCTCCAGCGTTACTCTCACCTTGGGACACAATGCCGCAGTCTCTTAGATCAAATTGGCCAGGCGTCCCCATCATCTTCTCTTACCGCTGACAAGACCGTTGCCGCCTGCCTTTACCACGCGTCTTTCCCGGTGAGAGATGGGTGTCTTTCATCTGTACTAGTTCCATTGCTGCAACTAATATATAATATGTCTCCTGGTACCCCATAATCGTATTCCATCATCCTTCCACCTCACGTCTTCCTACTACACCTCCCACATTACATACATCAAGCTTCAACACTTCGTTCTTGGATACGATCATGACGTCTCCAACACCCCCAACGTCTCCCAGAGCTTCAAAGTCTCGCAAATCCTCGAAGCGTCACAAGTCCTCAAAGTCTCACAGGTCCTCGAGGTCTTCTCCTGTTCCCACCGTGATCGACCTTGCTGCAGCCGCCATTGCAGAGGCCAGTCTAGAGGGTGATGATGAAGATTCGGACTTCCATGGCCAACTTGCCGAGAACCAACGCAGAGTCATCGAATCGGTACTCCTAGACCCCGTCACGATGTAAGTGTGATCTTTCGTGTCTCTTTGTCGGCTTCACACTTACAAGATCTAGCACATTCGATGACCTAGCAGAACGTCTTCGTAGTCACGGCACGCCGCTACCAGCATATTTCTATAGGACGTTCTATGAGACCTCGGCGACATTGAGTAAATACGTGCCTGTCGATATGCATACGAAGCATCGCACCGATGACAAGCTCAAGATGGAGGCGGGGATGGCGTTCCAGCCTGTAGCGAAGTTCAACGTCCACGGTTATCTGCACAGGGAAGGCATCGAACGACAACTGGTATGGAACCAGAAGAAGGATCCGTCTGCCTTCATATCTGTTTTCAACGAGCTTTGTGAGTATTGTTCTGTCGTTTAACATGTTTATCTACTGACACTTTCGAGGTCATGCCAAGAGAAGGGCTGGGTTTCATCACGACGAGAGTCAGCGCATCGGTCAACGTGTCAGCATCGCCCGCATCAGCTCAGAAGGATTGGAACCAGTAACAGTCCACGCCCAGGTTGAGTCCAAGATCTGCATCTACACAAAAGAGGTGGGCCATGCCGAAGTCAAGAAGTGGAAGAAGGTCTGGCGAGATGTCGATATCCCTGCGTGGGTCCACAAGAAAGCACGAGAGAAGTATGGCAACACCATCGACCCGGAGCAGTTGACGGAATCTGGCGCCGACATGTGGGTATCCATTACAGAAATCCGCCTCTCCAATCTGAAGAACAGCGGACCATCTGGCAGCATCAAGCGCGACTCCATTTGCGCGAAGGGTCATGACTACGAGTGGCTGTCTTGCGGGTCCATTTCCGATGACAGGATCTTGAATGTCTGGCCTTGGGATGGCAGGAAACTGCACACCCGTGACCCCGGTCGTCCGATCCGAAGTGTCGCCAACAGCGGGCAGCCCTGGGTCTGGGACATGCCGAAGACGATGTGGGTGCCTGACTGGATTCGGAAGTCAGATGTTCCCGAGCAAGCTCAAGACACTGGCAAGAAGCGAAAGCGCAACGATGACGATGATGACGAGGTTAGCAACGATGAAGATGATGAGCAGACGGCCGCCATCCTCACAGACATCATCATGGCTCATCTGAAGCGTACCAGACGTTCCAACTCTGATGCTGCGGATGACTCGGACGACGAAGCGACTCCTGCACCCGACAGCATGTCAGTGGAGCTTTTGATCTCTTCCCCTTCGCATGCACCGCAGAAGCTGGTGATTCGGCCTGAAGATTACGCCTGATGAGCTCTAGAGCAACCTCATCGCCTTGACAAGGCCTGTCAGATACGGACGGTTGCATGGGACGCTGGCTGGTCCTCAGTGCATGCATTCTTCATCATTCTTCCATTTCTTCATTCCCTTCCTTCACATCTTCTTTCGAAAAGTCTTGTTTGCATCTTTCCTACATTCCAGTCGAACGGTCTAGCTTGATGGGGCAAGCTGTCTGGCATGACGCTGATGATCGAAGTCATGCGTCTGAGCTCATGCTTCTGATGGTTTACCATGGGTTTCGAAAACTGGGTATTGTCCAAACACAGAATTGGTCTTGGGGCTAGATTCAGGTTGAGGACTACACATGGGCAGTTGGTGCTTAGCGTGTCTCTTATTCTTGCGCTCCTGCATACAGTTAAAACCACCTGACTATTCTAATTGATACTTTCTGCGTGTAATCTTCAAAGTTGACCCAAAGTTTTCGTGCAGTGACTTGCCAACATGAGGTAGACGTGTAGACCTTGGTGATACTCAGCCCACTTTATAATGACTCCATCGAATCTCCAGATATGCGCAGCTATGAGTGAATTATGCTGTTCCAGGGGCCTAGTTGTGAAGTTAGTCCAACGGGTGCGGGGCGATGTGCAGCAAGATTGGCGGCAGGCGACCCCACCAAAAGCCGCCCGGAGCCCCCAGCTCCACGGGCCCTGCATGTGCGGCTGTGCAAGTGGCGAAGGACCGGACGAACCACGATTGCTCACAGCCCTCGAACCTTCTCTCCTTACACGCTTCTTCCAAGGTCAAAAACCTTTGAATCTCCTCCCTATTATCATTTCCCACCTCACTACCAGGGAATCTTTTTAAGTAGCAGGACTGACCCGCTGCTACAAAGTCCGCAGAGATGCCTGCGCCACTGGCCAAAGGTGAGTACGGATAACTCCACTTATGCATGTCGCTGCGGTGTCCCCAGCATATCCAACGTTATTTCTCTTGTCGCGTATTCCTCTACTGTCTACTGTACTTTCCTATGCCAACCTGCTTGCAGGCACCGGCCCGCGCTTCGCATCTCCGCAAGGCAACACTCAAACCCCGCCGCACCGTCCTAACCACCCCTTCACATCAGGCCTCATAATCGCCGCGTCCGTTATCGTCGCCGCCGGTATCGCCATCTACGAATCCCCTCAGGTCAGACAATGGGCCGACCAAACCCGCCGCAAGATCGCCATCGCGCTGCATAACCTTGGCGATGACATTCAGCCTCGCCGCCCGAGCGAATCGTCCGATGACTTCGAAGCCAGGAAGCAACGGAGGGAGGAGTTGATCAGGAGGAATAGGAATGAGCTGATCAGACGGGCGAGGGAAGAGGGTATCGCCGTCGACCTGGACGAGCTGGCTAGGATCGGCGCTGAGACGGCTGAGGTGGCTGCCAGGCGGTCCAGGGCTGATCGGACGAGAAGCTTCGACGACATGGTTGGCAGCGATGGCATGCTCAGGGACAACGCGACGGCAACTGGCAAGGACAACTCGAATGGTAACCTCAAGAAGCGCGGTGCTGCTGGTTTTGCCGCCGGCTCTGCTGCCGCTGCTGCCATGGCCAACCCCTTCTCCGACGACCAAGTACTCTTCGACCACGACGAAGACGAAGCGCCCTCACCCAAGCCATTCACCTACGAAGAACCCGCCGCCCGCGAAAGCTCCGCTACAATCGTAGCCGACGTCCCCTCCACACCCACCACCGGCACACTCGTCGACCTAACACCCGACCCCGAGCACTCCCTCCCCGAGACCCCATCGCCCGCGCAGCCCGCCCAAGAAGACGCGGATCAGGCCGCCCAATCCTTCTACTCCTTCACCTCCTCGCAAGCAGGCGAACCCACTCCCTCCCACCCCTTCTTCGACGACAACGACGCCGAGCACCTCTCCACCGGCACCCTAACCCCGCGCTCCGAGCGCTCCATGACCATGAGCGGCTCCGTCGCCTCCGCCCCCGCCAACGACATCGCCATCCTCAGCATGCCCAACAGCGAACAAAACGACACAGACCACGACGCGCGTTCAGAAAGCGGGTTCACAGATGCCTTTTCCGAAGGCGGCTTCAGCGAGTTCGAAAACGACAGGCAGGGCATTATGACGCCTACGAGTTGGACGGATGTGGGTAGTGATGATGATAGTGAGTGGGGTGGTGCTGGACAGGCGGGGCATGTGAGTCAGATACATCAGTAGATGTAGATTTGTTGGAAAGCGGAAGAAGGGGTTTCACTTGTTGGCTTCAAAATGATACTATAGGGCACGGCGTTTGTGGGTATACATCGGACTAGGGTAACCCGGCGTTTTGATTTAGATGGGAATGGGGTCATGGATCTCTAGGCATCTATTTTCGCTATCAAATTCTTAACATATATCTTCGCTAACAACATCATTCAGTGACCAATCCTGAGCTTTCGTGCTGAACTGTTTGACAAAGCCATATTCAACACCACACATCTAACGCGTGGTAACCAACACCACACGCGCAAGCATGGCGCAACAAGAGCAGCAGGCCAAGGCTTTGGGGAATAGCGATCTCACGTTGAGGATTGTGTGTAATGCGGAGCGCAAACTGGGAATTTGGTGCAGCTCTTGCCATTCCATGGTAAGCGTATCGTTCTCAGAACATATGGTGGGACGGCCAGCTCAACAGGGTCCAGAGAGAAGCGAGCACGTGAGAGCTACTGCCTGAGCTCCTGCCTGAAATATCGAGTTTCTGTCGCTCTCTCTCTCTTCATGTCTTTACACTTTCGCCTCGGCACTGCTCCTTCTTGTCCTAGACGAGTCATCTCCAGTTCATCTCTCAGATGGCGAATACTGTCGCTTCCGGCCTTTCAAATAACGTACCGACCCAAGACCATATTGACTGCTCTGTCGCCAAGAACTACTTCATGTATCGACGCAGCCTCGATCGCGCCATAAGAGACCGATGCTACGATTACCACAACCCCGATGACGATGGAACATGGTGCAACAACCACAACAAACCCGATCCCGAATTCGTCTTCATGCCGCCACAAGTAAACGGCAAGAATCAGGTCAGCAACACATTCAATCTACCCGGGTTGCCAGCAGAGCTAATTTTGAATATCGCAGATCGCCTAGCACCAATCGACTTACTCAGCTTCCGCACGACATGCAAGTATATGCGGAGTCTGACGTGCACGAGGGATGCTCGATCGCGCTTACTACAACTAGGTGCTGAAGATCTTGAAGAACACGCATGGCAGCATCGCAAGGACTGCTTCAACAGGATGGCGGAGTATGAGGACTCTAATAACGCTCTTTACAGATACACTCCACGTGGCAAGCTCCTCTGCAGCTACTGCATGGACCTACACCCGGTTTTCTCCTTCGAAGCAGCTGGAACATCCACACATGGCATTGGAGGCACAAACCGAAGACGCTGTACAGCGTCGATGGCGAAAGTGTATCTGTGTCCGCACATACAACTAAGCTTTGAAGATTTGCACCAACTCCACGAAAGCCCCGCCAATAGTCTTGCGTGCAAGATTTGCGCCGCAAGCTGCACGTCAGGGACCAAGTCGACTACTTCGAGAGACTACTGCTCGCTAACTCAAAGAATGTTCCTATCTTTAGGAAGCAACCGCTACATGTGGCCAACGCCAGGCTGTCTCCCCATCAGAGGCGGTACACTTCACTGCGACTCCTTCTCCGCCAAATCCGCGATACTGTCCACCCTCCGCAAAGTCATCCAGAACGCTAACATGTACGTCTGTCCACATGTAGATAGCAAAGAAAAGGTCTGCGACATGCTCGGATCTATGATAGAGGATGCGCTTTTCCGCCGCCGCAAGCGAAAGCATAGTTTCTATGATTCCGCGCCGTACAAGGCATCTCAGTTTTCGAGTTGTGCCAAGCCGGGCTGTATAGCTGGGGTTGTGGTTCGTCTGGAAGAGGCTGGGATTACTGTTGAGACTTCTAGGGAGGTGAAGATTACGACGGTTAGAGGGGAGAGTTGGATGGTGAGTACGCAGCGTCCGGTGGTTGATGCGCGGAAGTAGGAGACTGCTAAAGGTGTTTCAAGACTCGGCTGCGCGAAACATTGGTTCATTGTATTGAGAAGATGCAGGGAAGCGACTTGGGCTGAACAGACAGCTATGCCCCGATGAACCAATTCACCCATTACACCTGGGCATACAAGCACATCTCCTCTTCACTTGTTCTGCTCCCTGACAAAATATACCAGTGAACAGATGCGCGGGTAGATGTCTTCCCATTGCAAGTAAGCCCATGGATTAATCATCGTCATTCCACGGTACTGCGATAAATAAAAGGCGACCCAGAGATGACGAGCCAACTACACCTCCCGCATTTCATACAACTTATACGCGAGGAGACACTCTACGAAAGAAAGAAGTATCGCATCTCTAGGAACCTCTACTTTTGATAAGATGACCCAACCAAAGGGGTTAAATCAAACCATGGGCGTATCTGCGCACGTGATCATCAGCGCACACTGCTGCCTCGCCTCTTGTACTTATAACCAACAAACCTCAACCGAGCACTGTTCATCCACCATATGACCATCTTCCTTTTCTCTACCCACAGAGAAATTCCGCTCTAGCCTCAAACTCACAGAATGACGACAACCGGTCGCCCCAAGATCGTGTACAGTGCACCGGCACGCCCACTTGAACACAATGTTGCTGCCGCAAAAGACTACTTTATGCACCGACGCACGCATAACAATACTCATGGGCCATCTCGCAGCGCATGTAGCAGGGCAGATCCCAACTTCATATTGATGCCACTGAAAGCACCCAGCGAGACGTGTCACGCCGACAGTGCGAACCCCCTGGCGAAACTTCCCGCAGAGCTCATCCTGGACATTTTTGAGCTGCTGCCGCCCGTCGATGCACTCAGCTTCCGGACAGCATCGAAATACATCTATAATTTGTCCCTCAATAAGACTGTGCAGGAGACCTTCAGAGAGCTCCAGGGCGATGAAGTTCATGAATACGCATACCGACGACGCAAAG